ATTTAGTATATACAATTATCTATATAGTTTGTAGAAAACCTGTATAGTTGTATAGATTATGTCTGATTACGTCATTAACGTCGAAAACCATGACCAGTTTTACCCAAACCGAACAAAATGACCGAAAACCATAATCACAACTAATCTACACGACTGACTATGATCGCATAAACGATGTATTCTACAGGTTTTCTACAAACTAAGTAGAAAACTGATGACATGAGTCGAGAACCCATCACTGCTCTTATGGTTCCTCATGCTGAAAACAAATTCGGATACCATCCATTGCTTTATTAGAAAATGAAGTATTACTCGTTTCTGTAGATGGTTGAAGAAATGTTTGCAGATTCTAATACTGGGTAGGAACTTCTTGGTTAAATTAAAAACGATTTCCATACGAAGACAAAAATATTAAGTGTGAAATACTTCTTATGTTACTTTCAAACTTTTACGATTATTTACACTAAAAAATATGAAGACAAAAAAGCGGTTTACGTGGATGGACTATGAAGNGAAATACAAAACAGTCTTCATAAAAATTGTAGACTGAAATGTGACCTCTGAAAGAGTATGTGGCAACCTGATTAGTGTTGATATGTGAGAAGCAACATCTAGTGAGAAAAATCTGTCAATACTTTTCCGACTATCCTCCATTCCCAGGCTAATTTCAATATGAACATGAGAAACTGTAAGAGTCACGCGGCAGGTATAGCAAACAAAACAAAACTGATGTGTTGGACAGTGTTATTGTAAGATGTTTAAGAGTTTCGTAAGAGACTAACTTATTCGTCATCGGATCATCAGCGTCGCTCCTAAGCATGAAACCAGAATGATCCCACAATTCGAAATCGTCATCAGTGTTATTGGCGTTGCCTGCAGCACCGGCGCTGTTGATACTCTTCGACGGATTCAATTCTAATCCCGCGTTCTCTGATACTGTCTGCGACAACAAAAATCGATTCTCCGTTTAACGCGGCGAATCCTCCAACGGCGAAGCAGTGACTATAACTACGTACAGATAATTTATGCTTAACGAGTGGCGTCCTGTTCTTACGATGCGGTAATAAAACGACCACGTCTTGATCTTTGCTTCGTTCTTTCGTGTACTTCGTATAAGAGTTTACGGTGGACGTTGCTCCTTTATTAGTGCTGACGCTTGCCGGGTCTTCCCCGTTCGTTGAGCATTTCGAGTACGCCACGTTCCGCACGTTATTGTTGCCACCGTACGAGACGTTGTGGGTATTGTTTACCTTTTTTCGAATCAGATTTCGCAAGGTCAGTAAAGACGCTGGTCGAGTTACGCTCGTTCGTTTCTCATTCTTTTCATCTCGAGTCGCGCGCATCGATTATGCGCAGATGAAATCGGCAATGGCCGACGACGATGTATGATTTCGTTTGCGTTTTGGTGATATATTTGCAAATGATAAATTGTATAACTTACTTGCACTAAAATATGACAAGCTTGAGAGGCGATTTGAAAAAGGCCGTCTTGCAAATTGCGGCCGGCATGCTCGGTACTTTCGGAACGATTGTTTCCCTTCCAAGCGAAGAAAGACATTCCGTTGCGTTTGTACTATAATTTGAAAAAGAACAGCTACTTCTCGTGACCCAAATGCCACCCGTTCGTACTTTTGTAGCAACAAGGACGGGATCTGACGATGCCATTTTTGATTTATTGGCATAGAATAAACCGGTTCCCGCTGAATTCACGATCACCATTGACCCCACAGTCTGGCGACCATGAGATAATCGCTTCACAACCTAGTTAAACGTTTCGCGGCAATTTCACGTCCCGACACGACAATTTTTTACGTATAATTATACGATCGACTATATAAGATATCAGATTCTCTCCCGCCGAAAGAACATAATGAATGGTTTTCAATTATGTCATTTCTGCATTAAACCAGCGACGCACAGTGGTTCTTCAATACACTTTCATAGTAGAATGTCTGAAGATCCAAAATGTATAAATTTGTTTTATAAATATTGATTATTTGTTGAAATGTCATGGCATAAAAGTTAAAAAGTAAGAAGCCTACGATTTTTACTTAAAAG